GCATAGTGGAGCCGCCGGCCATTAGCGACTTTGGCTGCATACCATACCATGCACTAGTGACTAGTGGTAGCTAGCTTTGTTCCTTTCTCGTGGGTTCACACATCACAACCGTACTCCTCCGCTGGTACGGACTGAATACAAACCATTGTTAGTCTGTGCTTGTTCCAACATATATAACCTTAATTTGCGTACTCACACAAATACATGGTACAAAATTTTTAAAAGGCGTGGTTAGTTTTGCAGTCTTTTCATTAAAATAATGTTATTTTACTCTCTCTAGGTCTAAAAATTATTTGTTTTGGATTTCAGAACAAGTTTTAGGTGATTTTTTGTTTAATTCATTTTGGCTACGTGTTGGAGCAATTTTGCTAAAGAAAAGGTTGATAGGAAATTTGTGAGAATGTCTACGGCCATCTCAATCAAATTCTCTCACACAAGCACCTTCAATGTGAGTTTCGCCTTAATATAATTCACCTTCTTGTGTCTTGGTCAAATCCATGAAATTGAAGGTAAAATTTTGCTTTTTTTGTGGACAAGGTCTTTTGGGCAAATTGACATCACCACAGGTTGGAGAAGAGATATAACTACAATGTGATTTGAACATCATTTCATTGGATTTCAAGATTTGGGATTAAGGTCTTGATCTTTGTTACTAGATGAAAGGACCGAAGGGTTGTTTGTGTGACTGTAGTGAAATATTCCTCTTTTTTACTGTCAATATGGTAAGCCTATTTGGAAAATTGTTTATATAGCTACTAAGTTCGTCCCACCTAAAGCCATAACCCACATGCTTGGGAATTGCTAATGGGCATAGGTCAAAATTAACGAATTTTAATCATTTTGGGGAGTTAAATCCATTTTTAGCAATTTGGTGTATGCCTAATAATGATCTTATTTTTTAGACAAAAAAAGTTACTTTCTTTATGCAGGCTATCTTCAAAGGAATATATTGGTGTGGTGTTCGCATTGCTGAAGCGAAAAAAAAATGCAAGGGAGACCATCCGTTTGATGAGCAAAGCTTTAAAAGTCGTTCCTTTAGACATTTTTACAGGAAAACAGATGGAAAAAAACAATAGAATTTGTTTATGATTTTCTTTCCTTTTGTGTTCTCAGTTTGCTTAGAGTGTGATCAGCCAATGAGCAGAAAACTCTAGTAAGAACTCAACCTTGTGCGGTCGTAGAAGCTGAAACTACTTTTAAAAAAATTTGATTAATTGCAAGTCCTATTTAGAGCAACTTGTACCATTGCTTCTCAAACAATAGAGGTGCAAAAGCTAACTAGCTATGTGAAACATATCGCTACTAAGGGCTGTTGTTGGCCTAGGACTAAAAGGATCAATACATGTAGATAGTTGTGCTCTCTAGCTAACACACTCCCATCGGAGGCAGCTGTGCTTTTTTTACTGCACCATCACATCATGTTGCTCTGTTCGCTTGGCTTATAATCCGTATTTTTTCAGCCAACGAACAGTATTTTTCTCTCACAACAAATTAGCCAATAGTACTTTTAGTCATGACTTATCAGCCATGCGAATAGGGCAATGTGCAGCCGACGTACATGTCCCGGCCATGTGAGCGTGACAATTCTGCTCTGCCTTTATAATGAGAAGACCGGACAAGATCACTATCACTTTCTTCAAACAAGACGACGAACCTAGCTGCGGATGCTGATGCGTATACCGTGACAAATCTGTCACCTTAGTGCTGTAAATTTGCAATCACTGTCATCGATCGACAACTTAACTTTCAATTTGTAATAATCAAATTCAAGTCAACATGGGCGAATGTGTAGCTGCCTTTTCTTATGTTGAGTTAACATCCCTAGCTAACTGTTAATACGCTAGCCCGATAACCTATACTCTGCATATAGCTAGGTTAAAGTCTTATGTAAGATGTAAAATATTATAGGTTTTTGAATTTAAGACCCATAATTAATCAAGATTTCTTATTTTTTTACTCTCTCTCTCTCTTGGAGCCCTGCCTAACAAACCCTTACTTGGAGGTATTTTTCCTACTCCTACCTTAATAATGGCAGAAGTGGGCACTTTAGGAATATTAGTGGTATTTTATAATAGCAAGGTAGTGGTACTTTATGGTGTATTTTTTTTTATAATAGTAGACACATCAAATGTGGAAATAACGGTCTATTTTAGTTTATTTTTAGTAATAATAGGAGTGGGTAATTTAGATACAAATTTAGGTGTTATGTTAGATGCATGATCCTTTGGAGTAACAGAGGTGTATAATCTAGATGTAAATTTAGAAATTTACTTTATTAAAAAAACTTGACCCCTCGGGTAAGACCTCCACGGGGCATCGATGAAAAGGAAAGAGATTTTTTCACAAGGGTTAGAAAAGGCCGCGAACCCTTTTTTTTATCTAGCACGTCTTGTGTGGATTAACATGGAGGTGATTAATTCTCAGCATATTGAAATAAAAACAAAATGTACCAAGATGGAATTGATGATTGGAGCCTCGCCGGCCTACGCATCACAACAAGTGGCTGGACGGAGCTTCACACCAATTTTCAGAACCAGCTCATGAAACCCCCGCAAGTGAGAAGTGAGAACACTCTGCAGCTCCGGGCACTTTCCTGGATACCCACACACCATCCAGCCGGCACAAAAGAGGCTCACATTGACCTGGTTTGTGCTGGAAATTAAACGAGAGAGGAAAAGACAGGCAGATAGGCGACACCGGAAAGGCAGGATCGTTGCCACCTTTTTCCAGAAGAAAAGAATGTGACAGCGGAATGATCCGTCGCGTTTAAATTTTCACTCAAAAAAGCGATCATCAAATTGGTGGACGACTTGGTTAAGGGGATGCTGGGAGCCTGGGATGGGTGGTGCTTCTGAGCCTTTTCTCCTTGTCTTCGCCTGACCTAGCGTTTGGATTCAGGAATCCCATGGCCGCTTTGAAACTGTGATTGGCCATCAGCATGGTGTCATGCGTAATCTTGTCAATAATGGCAGCAGAAAAGTATTGTCATTGTGCTGTGTTAGGATGGCTCGAATCATTAATCTATCTTTTACTTTCTTTCAGGTCGTTGTGAACTCTTAAAACTGAAGGTACTACTAGCTAGCTGCCTGCCTGCCTGAACCATGTAGAGACTACGCTCTGCTCACCTTTTGCCTCATGTCATGGATGAGTCCATTTCCTATTGTCATGTCATAACCTCTTAGCTAGCTAGGCTCTTACTGGCCCGAGTAGAAGATGGGAATTCAAAAGATTAGCTAAGATCCAGAGCAAAGTCAAAAGCTCTTGTTTCTAATTAATTTCTTTTTACCGGTCGAGCGATTTGACCTGCGGATGAGAATGTCCTTGCATAAACTTGCTGCATATATATATACATAAGCGGTGAAATTGATTGTCTTCTCTTTGTACAAATGACAAATATATATACACTGGCTGTTACACTTTCCATTAAACATGCAGAATAATAGATGAAATGAAAGCGACCAAGTGAACAACTTGAGACTTATTTTACTACAAGGCAATAACTCAGCAACATGATATTTCTGGACTTCAGTTCAGTGTTAGATATCCAAGTTGTTACCAACTTGACCTACGATATCCTATTCTGTCGATCTATAGAAGTAACCTGTTACTTATTTTTATTTATTTATCTCACGAATCTCATCATGAAAATCACTTAGGTAGTTAACAATGATGATTCACTCATTTGGATGTGACAGACGAGGTTAAACCAACTGAACTTGGCCGCGAAGTTCCTTTTGTCCTGTTCGCGAAATCAACTTGACCTATGTAAGTACTGAAACAGTTGACCAATGATACCGGTAAATTCTAGAAGGATATTCGAAGGGGCAAGTTTTCGACTGCACCCATTCAATGATTTTCACTTTCATACTAGAGATCAGTTACTGTCTGGATTGTTAAACCATATCATTGCGCCGGCCATGATTTTGTTAATCCTTCTAAATCGTCAGCAGAAAATGGTTGTGAACTTAGGATGAAGTCAACACTTTCTCTTCTTGTTATTTTGTCAATTTATATATATGCTAGTGAAAACACTGAGATAGACCTTAGAAACTTGTGATTATAAATGTCTATGTCGATGACCATGCAAATAGAAATTGGAGAGTGACCAGACTGTGCAAGATTTTAAATCCCTGATGGTGGGTTAGTGGCCTAAATATGATACTAGGGCTAGTCCCTTTCAGAAATCCAAGCTGCACTGAAAAGATGAAGTGCGTTAAGTTTTTATTTCTTTTTTTGAAAAAGATGTAGGGACAAATTTGCTTCACGTTGAGAAATTAACAAATCCAAGTCAATCGTGGAGCATCGTACATCAGAAAGGTTGATGATATAATATATATATAGCATGAGGCGACCTTTTCGTGCCTGTGTAAGATTTCTAGTGTTGTGCTATAGACAAAAGCAAGGACACAATTAATCAGTGTGGTCATGTGAAAGTACATACTAATCAGCTTGTCAATGATGGAGGAATAAGGGACCTAAAGAATTGTCCTGAGATGTTCTCCTAGGGCCAGGGGTAATTTGACAATTCGCCACACAGGGAAGGCAGGGAGTCAGGGGATATTTGCCACAGTTGCTTATGCTCGCAAAATATCCCTTCAAATTATACGTAGATTTTGTTCCAAACATTCATGATGCTTGCCCAATCATCCTTAGGCCGGGTAGGGTTACAAATGATTGACAGTTTGTATAAAAGTGCATCGGCAAAACGACTTGTGTTCCAGCAGTTTCGATACTGGATTAGATAAACTAGACCTATCTGATCTCTGGATAATCTTAGCAGCATGGTAATCAAGAGAGATACTAATCATATTAGCAGTACTATAATGGTCAATAATAGCAATGGGGATACACTTTGGATATTATGGTATCCACTGTGGTTACATCGAATTGATCGGGCAAGAAATGAATGCCAACACACCCATTCATTCCGCATGATCCCTGTATAATTCCTAGTTCCCCGCTTGGACATTTTGTTACAGTACAGGTTGGCCCAATCCAATCTACTCCTCCCTTGTAGAAGGAGCCATTCCTGCTGAAGGGCTGTCTGCGAAGTACTCCGGGTGTTTCAAGTTCACACCATGCTGCAGAGAGAAGTCTCATGTGAGTATCAGGGTATATAAGATCACAAATGGAGCAAAAGCTAATGTGGTGGAAAGTAGTCCAGTGACCATGGCCAGTAGTTAGGACTGCTTAAAAATGACTAAAGCCTAAAAATGCCATGTCCGCTGCAGTTATAGATCTCATTGCTGATATGCTGCATCATTGCTGATATGCTGCATCCGTCTTTAAAAAAATGATATCATTGTTAGGACTGCTCATTGGCTAAGGGAGCCGCTACTCTATTCCTAAGCCTAAACAGGATAAAGATTTTATGAATTAGGATTACATTTAGTAGTTACTCTATTCTTCCAGCAATGATGCCATGAGATGCTATTTAGGGATTTGGAAGACTGGAACTTCAAATTAGAGGTACTATAGAAGCACACCTTCAAAAAATCAGGATCTTTACCAAATCTAATTTCAAGGATGTCTGGATGGTGTACGCTGAAGAATCAATCTCTCTATCAGCATTATGAACTTTGTATATCATATAGAGCACAAAAATGATGCCCTTTGTGCAAGGTTTCAATATAACAGACTTATTTTGGAACATAAGAAAGAACAAAAACACCATCATCCTGCTTAATAGCACTGCTATGGTACAAAATATACATTGATTGATTACTAAAGGTCAACCGGAAAAGATAGTTTGCTGTGGACTGAAGATACACCACGGTTTTCGACGTAGCCTTAAGAGTTGTGCTAATCGGATTGCAAGATTTAGGCACACTGGGAAAGAGGAAATTTCACATTCCTGCAGGGACTACACTGTTTTTCAGTGAGATTCCAAAGGTGCTTACTTCTATGCATATAATGGTCTTGCCAATGGTTTTGCATAAACCATTAAAGCTATGGGTTTGTCACTAAGAATGTCAGAATATGCCATGTTGGATTGGCATTTTGAAATTTGATTTGCTGCTCCATTGATTTATTGATTGCACTATCCACTATTACACATTTAATTTAAATGGGAGATGAATTGTGACTTTAAATTTTAGCAACATCCACATCCCACTTTTCGTTCTTATACAATGACAGGAAGGTTGATGATTTTGGTTTAATCAGTACAGTCAAAGAAAACCATGCTAGTCTGGTATCCATGGCCTTGTATGTTTAGGTCCATGCAAAATGTCAATAACAGAAGATGGTGTGTACCTCACTCTTGCAAAAGATACACGTCATATGGGCACTGCCGCTGGGTTGCTGGAATTGACCATATCTAATCTAAAGGAACTGAATCATCATTAAGATCTCCAACTGGTGCAGCACATGGTATGTGCTTAAATATCTATCCTGCATTGTTAAGTTTTTGTTCATGTGCTCTTTTCTTAATTGACGCTAACAGTTGGTTGTTCCTTACGAATTTTTGGAAATTTGTGAGGACCAAGAGCATATCAAACTGGATCTACATAACTGTTTAAGTTTAAGAAAACAGTGCGGAGATTCAATTTCAAATCCTGACAAAACAGATAGTTGTAGTGTCTAAACCAAATAATGTACTCCTGAATGATTTTTCTATCAAGAATACAGAAGATTTGCCCAGCTGGTTTGAATACAAAAGATAATAAACGGTAAGCTGCTGCCAACAAAAAAAGTAAAAGTGCAAACTGCAGAATTAAATGGAAACATGGTCACCTCACGCAAGGCTTTAGAAAGATCGTCCATGGTTAATACAAGACGTCTATCCTGAAAATGACATTTTTTAAGAAAATGTGACAAGTAAACAGTAAGGATACTAAACAAGATTTATCGCTAGGAACATGAAAAGTTCAACTACTGAGTAAATACACCTTAGGCTGTTTGCTCTTATTGTCTTTGATAGGTGCCGCTACCCTAGCCTTGCAGTGCCTAGTTCAAGGGAAAGAAAAATGTAATACCAAAATTAGTGCACACAACTACAGAGTGTATAATGCATATTGCTAAAAAATTCTTAAAATAGTTTGCTACATAGTGAAGAGCATAGAGTGTCATACACTGACCAAAAAAACACAAAATAAGACCCTAGCAAACTTGCACAATAACACAATATAATCCGAAAATGGCACAAGAATGTTTAAGCTTCAAAGTTCAAACCTTCCCACCCTCCCCTCCTTGTAATGAATATGTTTATCCATGGGATTAGTAAATCACAATGCCTTTCAGTTATGGTTGTTCCCCTCCCCTTCCTCATCTTGTAACAAGTTTTTCCATCATAACTCAGGCCCAACAGCTGAACAAGGTGAATTCCATTGTCACCTCTTCTACTCATTTTAGCGGTCCTTTTCTAGAATGCAGCTCAGCTGCCATGTGCTGCCCTAGGCTAACTGTGATCGCCAGACCACTGCCTGCTGAATGGGCATTCCGGGTCATGTCATGCTAGGTGCCTCTGAGTCTCTCCACCAGGTGCTACCGCACTAGCCTGCTGCCACTACAATTGCAAATTGCAGCTTGCTATGGCACATGATGTGAAACTCACGATGATTGATCAAGCATCCTTTAGTTAACTAGGTATGCTTTTAGTTGTTAACTCATGATGATGATACCCAAAAAAAAAACTAATTGACCTGTTTTCTAATTTCAGTATCCTTAGTTATTCATCACTTGATTAGCCAGGCCACATGAATAATGAGCTCCATCAGTAATATAAGTATCTTGTATGTTTTTTTTTTAAAACTTTGAAGAAGACAATTGCGTGTTACACTGTTACCCCCCCTTTGGATTTCCATTAAAGAAACCAAGCCTCAGCTGGTATATTACCTGTTTATGGAAGTAACTTGACTGCACAAAAATAGGGGGGAAACATTAATATTTTTTAATTTTGCCCGTTGTAAGCTATAACACGAAACTCTATTGTCACACTGAACTAAATGTCATTATACACTATTTCTAGCTTAACTTGCTAACATGCACCCTGCACAAGACAACTTAACTGTAAAATGAGGATAGGTCTCACAAGTCATGAATCAAGTGAGTAATACAAGCACATCCATTATGTATCAGAACATAATCCTTTAACAAAAACGAACTCCTTTAATGAACAGAACCCTCGGAGGGAGTCAGTGGATGCAGAGCGATCCATGGAACCCTTGGCTAGTATAGAAAGTTCCAAGAGAGATCACACTATATTTTTAGACAACAAAGAAGGAGGAATATTCTTTTCTACCAAGAAATATCCAAAGGACTAATCCATCACTATGGTGGCATGGTAAGTTTGCGAGAGCAGCAGAGAGCGAACAACGTAGTTACAACTATCAAAAACGCAAATAAATGATTTTGATTGAAGCCTACTAAACCTGCAAAACCAAACCAAAACATGGAATTGCACAGAAGATTTGAATTGATGTGGAAGAAACTGTTTTATTCTTGAATATGCTATCATTGATATTAAGAAGGTAATCCTTTACTTTGTAAAAGACTATGAATTTACTCACTGAAGAGAATCGCTAGCAATGTCCGAAAGGAACTTCTGGGTGGCTACAGCAACCAGTCTTGTTCTGTAAAACACGAAATTAAACTATGTCAGCAAGAAATCAAGTAATTTGTGTTTCTAACTTTAAAGATTCCATGGCACTGATCAAATCTCAGCTTACTACTATTCATCGGGGAGAGAGATTGGAAGAGCACTCACAGGCGAAGGTCGGGGCAGTGGAACCCGCTGCGGCCGAGGTAGTGCTCCACCAGCTCGTCGGGAATCTTCCACACCACCAAACCAAGCATCAGGGCTAAGCCATTGACAGAAAAGTAGAGAAGACGAGGGAAACGGCGGCACCATACCGTGGGGGTGTAGTCCATGAGGGATGAGAGGAACTCAGTGAGCGCAGCCTCGTCGTCGTGCCGCCCGTCCCCACCTCCACCCACTCCTGGACCCATGCCCCCGCCAGGGCCTCCTGCGCCGCCGCCGCTGTTGCTGCTCATCATCCTAGGCCTCTCACGTTCTGCCACCTCGCTGACCCCACCGCGCAATTAGCTGGTAAGATCCGAAGGGTAAGAATTGGCGAAGATAGCAAATAAGAAGAGAGTGGCGGAACAAGGATTTTTGCATAGGGTATGCCGGACCAAAATTTCTATATGCAAACCGGTAAAATCCATTTAGCAATTCAGTAAAGTACCATAAAAATTGCCCCACAATTTGGTACACAACTACTAAATAGCATAATAATAAGTCTTAAATTACAATACAAACATTTTAAACAACATACTAATAGCTTGAAATATGCATGATATAGAATCTTAAAGATCATATATAATTACAAGGCAATCATCACTACTTATCAATGAATGTGACAACGCAATCATCCAAAAGACTATCATTGATCTTATTTTTCGGTTAATTTCTACAATTGTACTACCTACATGGCTACATCTATAAGCTACAACAAAAATATCAAATTAGATTAGAGAAAGATAGGGTTAGGGATTTGGGGACCTTGAAAGGAAGAAGAGAATGGAAGGGAAGAGGCTTCTTAGTTCTGACAGATGTGCCGCCGACGATTCCTCCTTCCGTCCGGAAACCGGGCGTCACCGCGTCAGCGGCTCGGGGCGGGGGGGCGGCGCTGTGCTTCGCGGACTGCGGAGGCCGGATGCGGAGCCGCGGAGAGCTGAAGACGGCGGACCGGGGGCTGGGGGAGGCCGCCGGCCAGGTGGGAACCGTCCAGCCAAGCAGCCGGGGCGGCGCGCCGGCGTCGCTGGGGGACTCGCGCCGGTGTCGCTGGCGGACAGGAGTCGCCGAGTCGGGCGTGTCGGCGTGAATGGCCTGCGTGCGGTCTTGTTTTTCTTTGAGGCCTGTGTTCCGTTAGAAAGATAGTCATTTGCTACCACTAAAAAGTTGAGACGCAACTAGATATCATGACATTTTAAAAAGATAGTCATTTTCTAGCACTAAAAAGTTGAGGCGCAGCCAAATATCATAACACATTAATTTTTTTTCCTCCCAAGCCATTTTGTCCACTTTTCTATCTAACGGTGTCGATGTGCGTTGAAAAAAGTCCCAAATGTATGCCCTCACCTCATTAACCAAACGAGATGTGTAAAGTTTAACAGAGGCTATCGGGAAGATTTACGAGATGTGTAAGAGCCGATGCTGCTTGACGGCGATGGGGACCAGGCCGAGGTCGACCGGTTCCTCCGCGCCGTCGATGACCTACGCCGGCGACGACCTCCGCGTCGTCGAGACCTCCCCGCCGCCGCCGCCGACGAGGACGACTCCGTCTCCTCCTCCATCGGCCGCCGCAGCACCGCCTACCGCTCGCTCCGGAGCATCCGCGAGATCGACCTGCTGCCCAACGACGCCGTCGCGGACCTCCGCGCCATCGTGTCCCACATGGCCGCCGCCAGGTACGGCCACGAGTGCGCGCAGGTGTATGCCTCCGTCCGCAAGCCCACCGTCGATGCCTCCCTGCGCCGGCTCGGCGTCGAGCGCCTCAGCATCGGTGACATCCAGCGCCTCGAGTGGGACGCCGCCGTCGCGGGCCGCCATGTCGCGAGCAGCAGGAAAAGGAAGAAGGCGGATCTCCGGTGGGCTCGGCGGTGCAGGTCCGACGGGTGCGCGTGCGGGCGACCTCTGCCCCGGCCATGAAGATCTCGCTGGCCAGACCCTCAGCTCACGCTGCTCTTCTTGAGGAGGAAGAAGGTGCTAGGTTGCTGACAGCTTGGCCCCACCGAAGAGAGAAGGGATAGGATTATGGGAGAAGGGTGTTTTGGATATTGTCACCGATCGGGTCCACGTATCAGGGCTGTCAAACGGTGAAAATCAAACAGAAGGTGGACGGAATAGCTTGGGAGGCAAAAAAAAAGTGTCATGGCACCTGGGTGTGTCTGAACTTTTTAGTGGCATGTAGGAAAGGGTCATCTTTTTTAATGATACACAGGTAAAACCCTCTTTTTCTTTAGGTTATTTTGATCGATGCTATTACAATTTTTCAACTTATAAGATACACCACTACAATTTAACTATTCGAAGTATTGCCATTATAATTCTTCTATTGTCTGAAATATGCCACTTTATACGTTTTTTATGCTGTTGGACCCACCAGCAGACCAACTGAAAGCTCTAGTTTGATTTTGGTGAATTGATGAAACCCTAAGCGCTAATCTAGTTTATCAAGATATCATGAAATAGGTAGCACATTCCAAGTGGTAAAGCAAATGAAGATCATGACATGATGATGGTGATACCATGGTGATGATCAAGTGCTTGGACTTAAAAAGAAGAAAGAGAAAAACAAAAGGCTCAAGACAAAGGTATAAATTGTAGGAGTCATTTTGTTTTGATGATCGAGACACTTAGTGAGTGTGATCACATTTAGGATCAATAGCCGTACTACTAAGAGGGGTAAAACTCGTATCGAAATACGGTTATCAAAGTGCCACTAGATGCTCTAACTCATTGCATATGCATTTAGGATCTAGTGGAGTGCTAACACCCTTGAAAATGTTTGTGAAAATATGCTAACACATGTGCACAAAAGTGATACACTTGGTGGTTGGCACATTTGAGTAAGGGTAGGAAACTTCACCGGCGGAGTGTCTACCCGTAGAGTGTGGACAGTCCGACGGTGGCACCAGCGCCCTAGACAGAAAAGATGGAGGTCACTAGAGGTGACCGGACGCTGGCCTCGGTTGGACCGACGCGTCCGGTCAGTAGAAGCAGCGAAGACGCCGGCGCTGGTCTCTAACCGGATGCTGGGTCACTTAGTGACCGAACGTTGGAGGGGTGCGTCCGGTCCTGCTGATGTGGCAGCGCATAGAAGAGTCACCGTGTGACTGGACGCTGCATGAGTCCGGTCGAGCATGACCGGACGCGTCTGGTCATAAAAAGTCGTCTCTAGATGCTTACTGGAAACGACCGGACGCTGGGGTTCAGCGTCCGGTCACTTTGAGCTGCTACGTCTGGTCGTCACTTGACCGTTGAGATCGGGCGATCGACATTTGAAGAGAGGAGACACGTGGCACGCATCGCGTGACCGGACGCTGAGGTCCAGCATCCGGTCGATATGACCGGAGCGTCCGGTCACTCCGTGTTGTGCCCAGTGAAGGGATACAACGGCTCTATTTCGTGGGGGCTTCTATTTAAGCCCCATGGTCGGCTCAAACTCACTCTCTTGGCCATTTGCATTGACATAGCAACCTTGTGAGCTTAGCCAAAGCCCTCCCACTCATCTCCATCATTGATTCATTATCTTTATAAGATTGGAAGAGAATCCAAGTGCATTGCTTGAGTGTTTGCATCTAGAGACACTTGGTGTTCGTGTTTCGCTGCGGGTTTCGCTTGTTACTCTTGGTGGTTGCCGCCACCTAGATGGCTTGGAGCAGCGAGGATCGTCGAGCGGAGGTTGGTGATTGTCTTCGGCTCCGATCGTGGTGATTGTGAGGGGTTCTTGACCTTTCCCCGGCGGAGAGCCAAAAGGTAATCTAGTGAATTGCTCGTGACTTATGTGATCCTCATCTTGTGTTAGTTGTGCGGCACTCTATTGAGGGTTTGGCGTGTGATGCCAATTAGCGCGTAAACCTCCAAGTGAGTGAATCGCTACAACGAGGAGTAGCTTGCCGGCAAGAAAGTGAACCTCGGTAAAAATCATTGCGTTCATCATTTGATTCCGAGGTGATTGGTCTTCATTGATATTGATTATTGTGATTGATTGGTTTACTCCTCGACACGACGGTATAACTATCTTGCTCTCTCTCTTTACATAACACAAACTTGTTATTAAGCTCTTTAGTGTAGCTAGTTGTGAGAGCTTGTTAGTTTGGTTAGTGTGGCTCTTTAGTTAGTCTTTGAGAGCACACTAACTTAGTGTAGTGCCATAGCTATTGTGTGGTTAGAGACAATAGAAATTAAAATTGTGGTAGGTGGCTTGCATTTTTAGTAGGCTAGCGCAACACTTGCTTCGTCTCATAATTATCTAACCGTTTTGTTAAGTGTTGTTGTAGAATTTTTAATAGGCTATTCGCCCCCCTCTAGTCATTAGGACCTTTCACCAACCTTGTTTCATATTGACTAAAATGCCCCTGTCCCTCTCTTTCTCCCACATCACTAACACGTGGGCTCTAGTGTCATCTTGTTCCTCTCCTCCCCTCACTGGTTCGGGTCCGCATGCAGCCACACTCATGTGGGCTCCGTGGCCACCTACTCGACAACGGCTTCAGCTCCAACTCGCTCATTGAGGACATCTCCCTGAGCTAGAGGCGGCGCTGTCCGGCACCGCCAAGAAGCCGCGCCGATGGTGCAAGGCGTGGAGCCGGGCGCAGGAGCGGTGGCCCATCCGATATCGTCGACCGTTCGTCCGTGGCCGGACTTCCGCGTCCACGGAGCCAACCCCCAGATACAGCGGTGCAATAGCAACATGAGCGCACGCAGGCGCGCAACTCATTTAGCAGCAACAACGATGGGCTCGACAGCTCCAGGCGCAGCTACGGGACGCTAACGGCAATGTGAGGTGGAGAGAGGAGCCGCAGGTGCACACGCAGGCGTAGTTGGAGCGGAACCGCAGCGCGCGCTACTCGCTCGGGTGTGGCACCACGGGCAATGGTATGTTGCGGTTCTACCTGACGTCGATGCGGAGCGGCAGCAGGCGGCTGCGCGAATGCGCCCTGCCGAGCAAGGGCGAGCCCGGGCGGCCGCTGGCGACGCAGTCATTCGCGCGGATGCGTGCTCTGCTTGTACTAGGCGGGCTACGGTGTCAGTATAGGTTCCTCTACCAATCTACATGTTCCTCGGCCGTCCAAGGAGAGATGCAGCCCGCTGGCGCTGGCGTCGACCTTGTGCCCGCACTAGAGTCCGATGGTGCTCCGCGCTCGTGCCCGTGCCGGTCTCGCCAAAGTACTCGGCTGCACGACCCCATGATTCCCGCCGCCGTCGTTGTGCACCACCACGCCGACGTGCAGCCTCGCAGCCACTCGCGCCTCGCCGCCGCTCACGCTCGCGAGCTTGGCCGCCCGCATCGACGGTCCGACGCCATGGCCGCAGCTCGCCTACCTGTGGCGTCGACCGCTTCTGCGCCTCCCAACTCCGCGCTAGCCTCCCGCCTCGTTGCAGGCCGGTCGCTCGCCGCGTCAAGGAGGCCCCCCGCCATGGCCGACCACGCGGCGCGGACGGCGTTGGGCGCAGCGGGGCATCTCGCTGGAGGCCTGGAGAGGAAAGTAAGAAAGAAGGTGACAGGTGGGGCCTACACGTCAGTCACATGAAGTTTGAGAAAGATATAGGGGTATTTTGGGTAATATGAGAATACAGTTGGCTGCAGGAGGACCCAACGTCTTAGAAGTGTACAAAGTGGCGTATTTCAGATAACGAAGGAATTATAATGGCATGGTTCCAAATAGATGAACTGTAGTGGCGTGTCTTAGAAGTTGAAAATTTGTAATGGCACCGATCAAAAATAAACTTTTTCTTTTGTTTAGTAACTCCCCAAAACTTTACACCCTATCACATCGAATGTTTGATACATACATGTAGTATTAAATATAGACTAAAAATAACTAATTGCACAGATTACGACTACTTTGCGAGACGAATCTTTTAAGTCTAATTAGTCCATGTTTTGATAATAAAGTGCTACAGTACACACATGTGCTAATGACGTATTAATTAGGCTTAATAAATTATTTTCGCGGTTTTGCTGACGGATTCTGTAATTTATTTTTTATTAGTATCCGAACACCCCATGCGACACCCTATGTAATATCCGATGTGACACCCTAAAACTTTACACCCTGGATCTAAACACCACCTTAATTTTTTTAGACAAAATAGCACTTGTTAGACTGTGCTAGCCCAAGCCCTCGGACGGTGCGGCCTCTTTATCAGGATATTTAACTTTTTAGCATTATAACGGATGATGACTCCTTAAATAATATTCTATGGATTGACGATACGGTTTTAGCAGCAGAGAGAGAAAATTGATAGACATTTGCCACTTTTGCTTATGTGGCACACCAGCACTATAGTCCGCCTTAAATCCGAGTCAACAGCCTTAGATAAAATGACCACTCCTGCCCTGGCTTCTCTATTCTCCCTCCTCTCCGTCCCCCATCACTGACACGCGGGCCCCACAAGTCAGATTCTCTTTTAGCCTTCAACCATCACCATGCAGCTAGTGAAGGGAATGAGCTCGGCCACGCCGCGGTGCGTCGTGCTGCCGTCCACGGTGACGCGCGGTGCTCGCCGCGTGCTTGTCGTCTTCGCCGTGACCATAGACACGGAGAGCCCCGCGCCCTCGACTGCATGGTGTGCCTCGAAGTCGAGCCTCGGGGCACTCGTGGTCGACCACGAACCCGTCGAGGACACGGCGGGGGCCGTAGAGATGCTACGGTCCAACCGGATGCTCGACACCGCTGCCATTGCCAGTCGTGTGTCGCTAACCTATGCGGCCTCGACGTCCTCGCGCACGGGCTCCAGGTCCTGGAACGTCACGCGTTTGCTGCTCCTCTCCAGACCGCTGTCGCCCATCGCGCTGCCTGAGGACGCCGACGCCCAAGACCAGCATGGTGCCCGCGCACCGGGGTGGCTCCATGATCTTGGCGATCCGTACGCCGTGATTTGCTCTTGAGCCACGTCATATATGCTTGGCCATGTTGTGCGCTCGGCCACGGCTCAGGCTCGTCCTCTAATGAAGGCGCTGCAGTTCGGATCTGGCGTCGCCCTTCCTCGGCTCCGGCGGGCGTGACCCATGCTCTGCCACCCTTCCCCGGCTACGACGAGCGTGGCGGCTTCGGTGGGCGTGGCGGTGCCAGCGGCCGTGAGGATGACTGGCTGCGCTTGCTGCAGCAGCCACTCGAATGTCTTGTCGTCGGACTTATAGCCGAGCTCGCGCTCATCCTTCCAGAACGCCTTCGAGCACGTGCACCCCAGGGTGGCCTCGCTACCTAGTGCGGCGGCCACATGCGCCGCGAAGCTGGTGGACGTGACGATCTCGGCGAGGGGTACGTCGACGAGGGCGTCCCAGTCCCCAGGGCCTGCGGCGGCAGAGCGTAGCAGGGGTGCTCCGCCGTGGGCTTCCGGAGCAGGCCGACCTTCAGATAACGTCGAAGACGGCGAGGCGACAAGCAGAAGCACGAACGCCGCCGCGTTGCGGAAGATCATGGCTCTGAGGAGCCCCTCGCCGACCTCGTACGAGCGTGCCGAACACGGGCTTGAATCGTACGCACGCCGTGCTCTGCTCTTAGCCATGACATCTCGATGACGTCGTATGCGCTCTTTTTCCCTTTAAAAATTAAAGAAGAAATATCTTGAAAATACAATTATACATATATCAGCCAACAGCTATCCTGAGCCGTCCATTCTTTAATATATGGCATAGGCGAAAGTAAGAGAGAAAGGGCAGCATGGTATTTTTATAGCTTGTTTCTATCTCTACTACTAAAATCATATCAGCAGTTGTAAGAGTGCTATATGAGGAGTCGCCATCCGTTACCGTGGTAAAAAATTAAATATCATCTCTTTTACCCTGTTCGTTTGATCGTATCAGCTATGCTTATCGGTCATAATAGAGTGTTTTTCTCTCGCAATAAAATCATCAGTGGGTTATAAGCCAAAGTAAACAATCAAGCGAACACTGTTTATCCATTCGCGCCGCGCGCTCGTGCTCGCGACACGCAGTGTTCGGCGGCAGTGGCGAGCGGCGAGAGAAGAAATGATGCTGATAAGGCCGCCGCGGTTTCTCTCCCCCTCGCCCACGCCAGGGCCGCGCGAGCCCCGCCTCCACCGGCCTCTCGATGCCTCCAGAATCTTCTCCTCCCCTCGCCCCCCCGGTCGCCGCTCCCGCCCGCGCCCCCGGCTCGCCTCTCCGTCCACCGACCTCCACCGCCTCACTGCCCGCATCGTCGACCTCACCCGCCGCAGGCAGCTCGCCCAGGTTTGCCTCGCGTGCTCTCCTTCCCCATCCACTCCTCCGGCGGTCGAATTTTTCTGTTTTTTTGCTAGTGCCGAGTGCTGACCTGGGTTGTGCGGTGCAGATCATGGAGGAGGTGGAAGCAACGCGGCGTCGTGTGCGCGGGGGCGGGTTGCTGAACACCATCGTCATGAACGCGGTTCTAGAGGCCTGCGTGCGCTGCGGCGACGTCGACCGCGCGCTCCGGCTCTTCGAGGAAATGCGCGGGCCCACGGGGTGTGGTGTCGACGGTGTCTCCTACGGCATCCTGCTCAAGGTATGCGATTGCGGTATCTGTTAATGCACGCAACCGTGACACTTGCAAAAACTCATTTGGTCAGTTGTTTGTTCTAACTGGTTGAGTAACGATGGAATTGTGGAGATGAACTGAAGAAACACCTTAGTCCAACAACATGACCTATCCTGAAAATGATAAGGATGCATATCCAGTGAGTCCTGTTTGGCATTGATGGAAGAGAAATAGCATGCATGCTTAATTCTTATACTCGTCTTTGTTTACTAATTGTTTGCTGAGGTTGGTGTGGCACCAATTTGCTGGACTCCCTGCGATTTGTTAGTAAATGTTTCATGTAATTTGTACACACGGATACTTAATTATCCGTCTGTTTTGGCCAAAACCAGTTGTAATATTAGTGGTCTCACCGGTCATCCAAGCAGCAAAATACATTTTGGGGTGGAAAAATATCCGAGCTCGTAATTTACAAGGGTTTTTGACTGATTGCCTGGCCTCCAAACAGACCCTTAAGGGGTGTTGCTTTGGATTTTGAAGGGCCTGTGGCAGTGCAATCTATCGGGCGGCCTACGCTGTGACTGGGCCTAGCTACATTCGGATACATTATACAGTCTCTCTATTATTTTTGTTATAATTTGCAAATATATTGTTATACATATATCATATCATACCTTAAAACGGTACACCAGAACGGGCCGGTACCGGTAGGTTCCATTCCAAGAGAAAAACTGGAATGACTTTGGGAATGAAATTGACAAGTATGATCCAGCACCTACTCATGACGTGCGTATTTGCCAGAGTTTCGTATTTCGGCACCAGATATTCAGTTGCTACAGTCTACAAGAGTTAACATCCAGTCTGGATGGAAGGTGTTTGTGGATTGGCGGTGCAGGATAGAGGGATGAATTAGCAAGGCCATGTGCAAGATGTTTAACTCCCTCGTCATTCTTGGCACCTGAATGATCTGGAAGCAACGGAATGAATGACATTGTCTTCAACAATGGCTCACCCTGGATACAGGCAGTAGATGAGGAGATACACTTGCGCCTTCTGGCGCTAAGGACCTGATGTCACTGGAGGCCAGTAGAGGCTAGATAATTTGGCTGGGATCATTTTGTATTAAAAAGGGAATGGATGTAATCTGAAAAACTAGCTGTATCAAACTCTTTTCTTCTTAACACAATGACACACAGTTCTGCGTATTTTCAAGGGGAAAACATGGTTACGAAGAAACATGTGTTAATGATGCTTAGTGGCTTGCCCTTGAATAAGATACATAGATGTATGTTGTAGCCTTGATTGTGTGTTATACAGCTATTCCTTTTCCTTTCTGAAGAAATAGTCAAAGGGCCTCTAGTCCAACTGGTTAGAGCGTCCCGGCGGCACTCCTCAGGTCCTGGGTTCGACTCCCCGTGGGAGCGAATTTCAGGCTAGGGTTAAAAAAATCCCCTCGTCTGTCCCACGCCAAAGCACAGGTCTAAGGACCGGCCCGTTCTCACAGGGCGGCGGTGCCGCTGTGTAAGGGTGGGGCAGGGGTTCGGGGGTTTTCTGGGCCTGCGTGAGAAGGTCTTCTTCTTAATGCAATGCCTAGGGGTGGTCATACCCTCGCAGGTCCAGTATTTTTTTTCTGAAGAAACAGTTTTGCTAACCAAGAAATAAGCACCTTTCTGAAATCTGTAGGTATCCACACTACTAAGGAAACTTGTAAATTGTAATGGTCGATTCAGGAATCAGGAGCCCTCCTATGGTTGCTTTCTCAGTTCCCTATGAAAAATCAGAAAAGTGGTCCATTGTATCTTTCTAACCAGAAGCAGTTCGTTCATGATAACTTCAGGGCATTTTACACTACAAGGCCTACTAGATCTATCTAGGAGCAGTTACAGTCCGTCTATTTCTTAGACTTAGATTCTAGGCAGTTTTTTGAGCTTGTGTGTGATTATAATTTGAATTCACCAATATTCTATCAACTAAAGTCTTAAATGATCTATTTGTCTGAAAAACAACAGTGTTATTATGTTTCATTTTTTTTCTTTAAAGTAAGGTGGTAATTTTCCAACTCGTACAGAGTTGTCTACTCTTTTATGCCCCTATACAACTTTTATCAAATGTACATCTCAGATTGTCTGAATGCTCACCATGTTAATCACCAACTGCCTTCTTATTGTTCTGTTCAGGATTTTGTCCTTTAGAATATGTTGTTGTATCCTTTGTTGAATGGACTGATATTTAAGGGCATATTTGTAATCTGTTTGTTTGCAGGATATATATGATCAATCCTTTTTTTTACCCAAGTACATTCTGCTAATTGCTCCAATTTAGGAGCTTATGGAATCTTTATGTTTGAAATATTTATGTATTACACTGCTTTTCATTGAAGGGCCTGGGTGTAGCAAGAAGGATTGATGAAGCATTCGAAATACTGGAATCAATTGAGAAAGATTCTTCCATTGGGAGCCCCAGGCTCTCTCCTCATCTCATTTGTGGTTTTCTAAATGCCCTTATTGAAGCAGGTTGGTACAAGATTGATCATTTAATCTTCCACAGTACTAGAGTTTGTTTACATTCCTTCCACCAAAGAAATTCACCTCTATCCTGAACAGTTTTATTCTTCATTAAACTGCTGATTCACCAAACCCAACTTAGCATCAGAACATCAGTCCAGAATTCAAAATTATCTTGCCTTGTTCATGGGAAACTCTAATCCTTGGGTCTAATTCTACACAATACATATCCACAGTGATGCCCATTAGTGTGGGTTAGATTCTGCTTAGGGGCTGTTTGGAAGGGTGGTTTTGGACTAAAGACCGTTGTAAATCACAAGTCTGGAAAATAATATGAGCTAATCTGTAAAAGCATGTTTGGATGGTGGGTTAGACTACTAAATCGTTCAGATTGGATCTTTACATCTGGAAAATTAAAAACCTTCTCCCGAGCTCTGACTGAAAAAATCGACAATTATCGGGCACATCTGGTTCGCAAACACATCTCCTGCATGATAGCATCGTGGTTGTGAAGTCCGCCGGCACCGGCCGTCATTTGTCGCTTGCTCACCCATACCAATCCATCATCTGCTGCCGCCGCCACCTTCTAGCGCATTGATTCGACTCCCATCTGTAGCAATGCCTCTCTTCCTCTTTATCACGACACGCCTTGACTCACGCAGTCGATCAGACAGCAAGTATCGGGATGACTTGTGCTGCCGAGCCCTTGACGGCTGAGACGCTGAACCAACCATGGAGGCAACAACTATCACATCGGTTACAGCGACAAGCCTATCGATTCATCATCGCGCACTGCACTTAGTTCTTGTGATCTGCATTGCTTGTAGCAGATGGTAAGTTTGTCCCACGGTTTTAGCTTTTCACTGTGATTTGGAATTCTGCTCCCTTCTCTATCGATGATGATTTTGCAAGGATGGCGTTCCCATTGATAACATTGACAGCGAGCTCTTCCTGCAAGCCCAAATTGATGCTTTGTTGTGAACTTTCTGTGGCCTGTGCCTCGATTTGAGTTCTAATCTGAAACTTTGTCCAGTGTTGCTCTCAAAACTGAAGTTTGGTCTGATATTTTACTATGCTTTGTTTTGATATTTCAGTGATTGATGCAATGGTTATTCTCACTAGCTTACTCTGATTTCTATGGTTAAATAACTTTTCCTTCTTGAGCATGATGTAGAAGGGAGAGAATTCAATGCATCGCAGTTGTTTGCAGATTCAAATTACTTGCACAACCTGGACCAATTGGAATAGTAATTCTGCATGTGTGTGAATGTTATCTGCACTTCTGACTCAGCAGATATTTGCATAGCTGGTCCCCCCACCCAAACAGCAAGTTTACCAGTGAAAAATTTTACCTCTGTATCCTTGTGCATAACTAATTGCAGATGGAATGCCTTGTGATAAACAATACAATGTTTCCAAACAGGGCCTTAGTGTAAATGTGTTATGTGCAGATACTAACTAGTATAGACGAAACTCAAATAAGTATAACAAGATGAGTAATAATCACTTAAAGTATTAACTCTATTTACTTATTGCCTGGATATAGTTGTTTTCATCATTCCCAATTTCCCTTGTGTAGCTGGGACTAAGCTTGACAGGAATTGGACAATTATGCCCATTTGTGTATTACTAGATTTGTTTTTTTAAACGCGCAGGGAGCTGCGTATCATTATATTAAGAAGAAAAAGGAGTCAAAGTGATTCATACAAGCCCAATAGGGTCGGGTTTACAAGTAAGAACTCACCAATGAATACTAAAAGGTGGCCAACAAACTGCCTACACGCCCAGGTTATGGCCAAATGCACTGAGGCCTTTGGCCCCTGCCTTACACCATATTTTTGCTGCATCTGTCCTGCACTAAAGCATTGGGACTAGGAGAGGCCCCCTCAAAAATGTTGGCCGGGAACCACACAATAGAGTCTCAGATTTGGAACTGCCAGAGGGCAGCTTGGCACTAGGCCGCTTGTTGGAATTGAAAGTGCAAACTTGGGGATACAAGAAGGTCCAGCACCACTGCTACTTATAGAGCAGCTGGTCTACCTGCTACATCATATTCTAACCACTAAAGTGGATGCTTAGCGTATTCCTAATACCAGGCTTAATAGCCGAAACTTTGACAACGAATAGTAAGATACATAGAGAAAGCACTAAACTTAACTCTCAAAAAACACATCTATTCCAAGGCTTCCAAATCCACCAAGCAACCAACACAACTAAAGAATTGGATCCCTTTTGATGCTGTTTATCCCAATGCTGCAGAACTTGGCACCACCAAATAATAAAGTTAGAATCAGTAGGCCCTGGTGTTTTGTGCTGCACGCCAACTAAAGATAAGACTGAGAACCACTCTGTTATTGAAAACACTGTTCTACAGCTTCACTATTCTACAAATACTCTCCACTCACGTTTCTGCAACTTCATTTATTAATGGAATTGAACTTCAACTTATCCAGGAGATATGAGGCGTGCCAATGCTCTTGTCGCCCGTTTCCGCAAGGTCCTTTATGAGGGTCACTCTGTCTTACTATACAACTTACTGATGAAGGTAAAAATATTGTTATTTTGTTTTAAGCAAGTCACTATTGTAACTACATAATTTTTTGAACTGAACATACTCCAGGGGTACATTAAAAGCAACTTCCCTCTCGGAGCTTTGACTGTTAAAGACGAGATATTGCGTCAAGGGTTGAAGCCTGATAGATTGACCTACAATACCATCATTTCTGCCTGTGTAAAATCAGCAGAGATTGATAAAGCTATCCGATTTCTTGAAGATATGAAGGTGTCACACAAGTGTTGGGAAGGCCAGTTTTAGCCACAAAATTGTTTTGGTATACAAATAGTTGCATCGTGTAACAAAAATGAATTGATTATATTACAATGCAGGAAGAAGCTAATAAGGAAAGTAACCCTGAACTCCTTCCGGATGCTGTTACCTACACAACATTACTTAAGGTGTGCTGCCTGCTAGTGCCCAGCAGTTAGTGATAACAATTGCTGGCTTCTGGCTACACTCTCCTTTCATTTTACATTATTAAGCAGTGATACTGTAGTGCTCTTGCACTGCATTGTTAGATAATAGTAGAGGCTACACTCTTCTTTTGTTGATAACTTGACATGATCAGAAATTGACATTTGAGTGGTTGTTACACAACATTCTTTTTTGCTCATGAGAATGCTTCATAATTGTCGAAAAAGAAGACGACATTGCCTTCTGAAAAATAAAAAAATGTGATACAGCCTTAAAATTGAGAAACATAATTGGATTTCTGAAGGATGCCTTTTAGACCTCCTGAACAAGTAGTTTGATCACTGTTGTGTTTGCTATCATTTTTGGTTACTTAATTTTACAAGTCAACATCCTGCAGGGTTTAGGAAATAACCGGGACCTTTATTCAGTTTTGAATATTGTTGTGGAGATGAAATCTTCATTGATATCACTCGACAGGACTGCATACACTGCAATGATAGATGCCTTGCTAGCTTGTGGGTTCATTGATGGTAAGCTCTGTATCATCTTTTTAGTGGCACAATTTTCACACAAACACTACAGTGAATTTCCCTAAAAAACACTACAATGAATTTGCATATTGGAAAAATAACATTGGGGTCTGACTAATAACTAACTGTAACCTAGCACCCACTTTTCATCCTCACATTTCATTTATTTTCCAATTGACACTTCTTTGCAGCGTTTCAGCATTTAGTTTTCCTTTGACGCTAACAACTGACCTGCACATTCTTATTTTTACCCTTCTATATCCCAGTTGCCCAAGCAGCATATCCCATCTAAATTATCAAAAATGTTGAAACTTTTCTTGGTATGTTGTGTTTCAATAAATATTTATAATTGCTTCACCGATGTTCTGTACATCTTAAATCATCACATGCAGTATCTAAAACTTACACCAAAATCATTTTCTGAAGTATAGACAACTTGCTGTTCGTATGGTTGATTTCACATTACTTTTTTTTTTTGAAAACACAGGAGAGCTGTGTTTCATTGTTTTGGAGAGAAAAAAGGAGGGTCCCCATACAACCCTTCCTCTCATATGGGGACCGGATATGAGAGTCAGGGATCCAAACTAAAAAATTATGCCTTAAAGAAAACAGAAAACACCAAGACTTGACCACGCCTAAGGAATTAGGCGACCCTTCCAAGGCCCAAACCTTGCAGTTTCTTAGCGCCTGCTAAAGACCAGAGACTGTGTTCATCCTTAAGCAAACCCCATTCGCTTGCTCTTTCCCTTCCCAAGGAAATCCTTTCCTTATTTCACATTACTATTGTGCACAAGCAAATTACTTGACAATATTTGATGCGTTTGGCTACTAAATGGTAGTATTGCCAATTGCTTGGATTAGGATCAGACCTGGTTTTCAGACCCAGGTGTTAAATGTTATGGTCTATTAAGCTTCTCCATGGTGGAGCTTCATGCAGGTGAAATGTTTTTCAGTTTTTTAAGTACTTATTTCCTCGCTTGCATAGTAAATGAAAATGTCAAAATTAGCACTATTTTGCTTAGCCTGGCCTCTCTTTTGTGTACCCAAGCTCTGCCTCTGGGTCTTTTCTAATGTTTTGATTTGACAACTTATCACTACCTTAAGTTCACATGCTTTGATTTCTCTCTAGCAATTCAGCATTATCCATAATTCTTAATCTAGTTGTTCCTGGGATGATAATGTTATCTCAATTACACCTGAATTTAGTTTCTTTATTACATTTGTTCAAAATATCCTCAAATAATTCAACATATACTTCATTGCAATATATGTGCCCCTACAAATATTTGTGACAACAAATATGTTCATATTTGGACTGTGTAATAGAAAGAAGAAAAATGGATAATAACTATGCATATACTAACATGAAGTATGCGTATAAATTTGAGAATTTTAAAATTTTCAGTGTGTATGAATATACAGAACTACTCCCTCTGGTCCAGTTTATAAGGCATTTCACATAGGTCATGAGTCAAACTTTATAATCTTTGAGCAATAATTTGGCTAACAACTTTTAACTATTGTAATACAAACTTGATGATATTAGATTTGTAAAAAAATACATTATCCAATAATCATAAATTTATAATCATAAACAATACTCCATCCGTTCCAAATTATAAGACATTTTGACTTTTCTCGATACATTGCTTTTACTATGTATCTAGACATAGTGTATATATCTTAATGCATAGCAAAAATTGCATATCTAGAAAGCCAAAACGTCTTATAATTTGGAACATAGGGAGTATAATATAAAAGAAATGAATGGTCAAAGTGTAATTTAGAAGACTGCCACGTCGGAAGATAAACTGGACCGGAGGGAGTACAGACTAATTTATGTGTACTTCCATCTTAGTGTCTAAACTCTTTGTCCTTGTTTAAGTGAATATAAATGTGTATGAGGCAACCAAAATTACCTTGAGAAAGTCTTTTAGATCATGGATTGTGAGAGTGAAAGCTGTTCTACAAACAAAAAACCTCTTGTTTATGATATGTGTACTACATTTCTGTACTGATATACTTTGGACCTTTTTGGTGGTTATTATCGTAGGGGCCCTTTGCATTTTTGGTGATATAATAAAGCATGCTGGCAAGAACAAAGATTTGAGACCTAAACCTCATCTCTATCTTTCGATTATGAGAGCTTTTGCTACCAGAGGTGATGTTGATATGGTCATGAGATTGAACAAGCGCATGTGGCCGGATTCAGTTGGATCAATTAGCCGTGCAGCCAAAGAAGAGGCACATGAGCTATTAATGGAAGCTGCTATAAATAATAATCAGGTAGAAATGAAGCCTAGGATGAAATTAGCTGTCTGGCAATATGATTTGGATTCGTTACATATGCAACACCTTGGTTCCTTGGGTTTTAGTTTTACTAAATTTGACTAGGATAAGCAAAACTGCAAGTCCTTCAGAATCGAGATGCATATTAGGTGTGCGTTGTGTGCTTGCTATTGAAACACCTGCTAGGGATGCATGGAAATGTCTGCTATTAATGTATTATGTTTACTGTTGTAGGGAGAGTTCTTTTGCAATGAGGGAAATTATTACTAAGCACTTCCAACAAAGTGTATTTTTCAAGTGGTATCAATCAGTAAATTATTCACTGTCTAGCTTGTATGAAGGGCGGGCCTGGTGCAAGCGGTAGAGTCTTACCGCCTGTGACCGGAAGGTCCCGGGTTCGAGTCGCGGTCTTCTCGCATTGCACAAGCGAGGGTAAGGCTTGCCACTGACACCCTTTCCCAGACCCCGCACAGAGCGGGAGCTCTCTGCACTGGGTATGCCCTTTAGCTTGTATGAAGAAATGAGAATGTATAAATTACTTTGTTAAAGTGTTTTTGCTAGGTCCAAGAGGTCCCATTGTGCCGCTAAAAGTATATGTTTTCCCATTTGTTGGATGGCAATAGATGGATGCGATTCAATGTACAGTTCTACGGTTTCTGAATTTTATGATCGTATGAAGCTTAGTATCACATGAGGTAAAAAATCTTGGGGAACTAAGGGTTGTTGAAAGGACATGTTTGTTCCCGTGTTCAGTTAAACGCCTTATATGTCGTCAGATTTAACCATATTACCATATTCAAGGTAGTACGCCATGTTCATGATTATGCTTATCTATCTAGATAATTGTACCCCTGAATGTTAACTCTGCTCAGTCTTAACATTTTTAATTTTTCAATACATCGTGTCCCTTTGTACTTACAGCTCCCAGATTAATGTTTCAGATAGATTTGGCTAGAGGGCTTCTAAGACAAATAGTGAGCGAGAAGGAATGTTTCTCTTGGACAAGTAGAGTGGGTCTGGTATGTTTCTTCTCCTAGGATTTTATTTCTTAAAATAGTAATTACTATATATGCTTCATTCATAGAGCAGAACTAGAGCTTCTTTGATTTGTCATTTTGTAAACAGTGTAGATTCTCTCACATGTTTTGCCACCTTAATTTATCTCTATTCCTCTACCGCTCCTTTATCCGTTGCTTCAGCTAACAATGATACTTGAATGAAACAGCTATGAAGCATTTCTTTAGTGTTACTATATGCAATGCTAGTTCTGTGGCATGAACTTATATGCGATTAATGTCATTCCAACCTTGGCCATGGTTCAGTTCAAATTCAAGCATGGCCAAGGTTACTTCCCACAATTAGTGAATGGCTAGATGGTCTCTTTTGATGTTTCTTCTTCCTTTAACTTTTGTACTTAAGTTGTGTTTATTATTAATATTTAACCAGTAGGGGCACAAGCCCTTCCTGTTTCTTCCAAAAAAACGTATATGCTATAGGCATGCGCATTGTTGCTGGAAGTTGTTTTTTAAACAAACATACAAAAGCCATTTGAGCTTCTGTGCTTTATGTCTCTAGCTGTTCTATTTGCTAATTATTTGTCCATATTAACCGAAGTAAGAGGCAGTTACTGCTTTAGTATTGGCTTGACCGCTTCAAAAATTAGAATGTCCAGTCTGGCCACTATCGTGATTGCTTCCAACTTTAAATTTCTAAATACCTTATTTTGCTAAGTTGTTGTTGATTGGCTAGCACTTTCCTAGCATCTTTATGCATTGAAGATTCATAGCATTACTCAGGTGAACTTTATAACTCCAAGATAGTTTAGTACTTCATACTGGTCATGAATATCAAGGCAGCAGCCATAGCAATACATCAATTATGGGTTTTGACTCAACCACTCCTGCTTGAAAATTCTTTTTTTTTTTGAACAAACCTGCCTGAAAATTCTTCCATCTCATTACTTCGTATTTAGGGCTTGTTTGGCTACACTCCAATCCACCCCAATCCATATGGGCTGGGAGCGATTGAGGTGGGAAATGAACTAATTTTCCTCCCAAACAAGCCCTTATGTGGTGTGGAACCTCATGTCCGCTTATTATGTGGGCAAGACTGAATTTTCCAGCTTATAGCCGTTTAAATGAAACTATTCTGTCAAACCTGTGAACTGTACTTGTCTGGTTAATTTTGTTTTCTTTCTTATGCATTGCCAGCCTGGCTTGTGAAATACATGACAGACATGTAGTAGTTGCCAATAGCTACTGTGGCAGTTCTCATGCATTGAAATGTATGGAATACCTGATTAAAATTGTATTGTTGTATGTAGTAATTGTGTATCTGAATGCGATAAATTGGAAACTTAACTCGGTAGACCAATGCCAGAATAGGAGCATATGACATGTAAATTAATTATTTATCTACCACCATTTTTACAAATTTGAATGTATAGAAATGAAAGGAATAATGTTTTAAGTTAGTTTCTTTGCTGTTGTTAAAGGTCGCAGTTAAAGTTGAAAGCTTATCTGGATTCACCAACTCTCTTCTAACGCCTCACATATTTCCACAGGTGGTACATTCTTATCTTGTATCCCTTTCTCTGCTCTACTCTGTTTGTTCAAATCTGAAGTTCTGTCCATTGAAATTGTAGATTATCTTGAATGATCCAGTTGAGAAGTATATGGTTCCATTTCAAGAATCTCAACCATTACCTGCTGACTTAATCTTGCGGAAGGCTGTGATGCGATTCTTGAAAGATCGTGCAGTTCCTCTTGTCGATGATTGGGGAGGTTGTGTTGGCATTGTTCATCGTGACGATTGTACCAAGGTACGCTGTGCTGTCTCCTTCAATCCGCGTCAGCAACACATGGTTGATCCTTGTACGCAAAGCTAATGACATGGTTGGCACTGGTTTCAGCAGCAGGGATAGATTCCTTTTTTGCCACGTCGGTTTCTTAATGATTTTGGCCAAGCTACCTATGTGTACAAAGAAAAAAAAAAGACTAAATCCTTTTATCAAGTGTCCTTTAACTGAAAACATGATGCTTCATGGAAATATGGTTAATTAGGGTGATATTTTACATTTTCCTCTACAATAAAAGAGTAGAAATGCACAATAAGGGACTCGTAGTGCTTTACACCACTGTAAAACATCATGCCAGTAATTGAGTTTCTTGTGACTCTGGACTTCATTTTTTTTCCTTTTTCAGCTGGATGCACCTCTTCTCTCGATGTCTAGAGGGCCACCTTTGTGCGTGCCTACTTCAACCACAGTGGAGCACGTCATTGACCTCCTCCTCAGAGAGAAGTCCGAGATGGTGGTCGTGGTGAAGAGTGGTAACATGTACGAAGGCAGCTACACATCCAGCTCTAGACCCTTGGGCGTTTTCTCCCTCGCCATACTATGGAGCTTCACCGGCGACTACTCGCCGGAATCAGATATGCCCGACGCAGGCATCTCCCGGGCAACAAAACCCAAACAAGACGCCTGAGGCCTGCAATCGCGGCTGATTCTGCAGCTAGTTTGGTCTTTTACTCAGCTTATAGCAACTCCACATCGTGATGCCGAGCAAACTAGTCATGTAATGGTCCTCCCTCCAGTTGAGCGAAAAGGTTTTGTCAAAGGAAGCTGCTAGGCTGATCCTGACATTCTGTGGCTGTGTGCTGTGTATGATGTTTTCTGATGCAGAGAGCAAAAGTGACAGTGGACCGGAGATTCCCGCCCAGCATTTCGGTTGAGGCGCCAGCGCCACGGCGCAGGGATGGTCCTGAGCGAGTCCTGACCGGTTTGGTGGCATGTGGCATCCCTGCTCTCACGGTCTCGCTCTCACCAGGCTGCAGAGGGAAGTGCCTCTGCATCTGCCGTTCCGATCAGTCTTTATTTGGTCCCGACACCTCATGCCATAGGGCCATCTGTCACCGGCCGTTTCGCTGAAAAAAACAAGCTAAAATATTATTTTAACTAATTTATTGTGAGAGAAAAATATTATTTTTAACTAAAAAGGCAAGCCAGGGTTATAACACAAGCGAACGGGGCGGTAGGATTCCGTCGGATGTCTGGAGAGCTGTTCGCCCCTGTTATCTCTCAGTCACAGGCCGCCAGGGGGTGGCAGTACTATGCTCGAGAGATTTCTGGGTGGGTAGCTAGAGGGTAGGCCTAGGTGCTTCTGCCCCCTGGTCCAGAGTGTCTGGGTCCATATATCACTGTATGCATGCTATTGCTGTAGCATAGCAGCCTGTTCTGTGTCGGATCATGGATTATTATTGCTGGATGGTTTGGTGTGAGAAAAAATACTGTTCTGGTTGGAAGACACTGTGCCCGTGTGAGAGGGCTGGTCAGCACTAGCCAGCCAGCCGAACAGGCTTAGGCGAGGTAGCAGGCATGGTACCCATACCACGTACAGGTACAGTACGTTCACAGAAGTAGTGAATACGCTGCTGCCTATCTCCAACAGCAGACGCACTATGAGATCAAAACCTAAAATAGATCTCCAACATAATATCTATATAAAAGACTCAGATTTATTTTAGGTATCAAGAGAAGTATAACCTAAATCTAAGTATCATCTCTCTCGAAGATCCATTTATAGAAATGATTTCTTTTTAGCTCTTGTTGTTGAAGACGACTAAAAATAGATATTGAACCATTTACTTATAACGTTATCTAAACATGAAATGAGTCTTATATGTTATGTAACGGTCCTTGGAGATAGCCTTAATACGGTGGCTACTGGCTACAACGGCGAGCGCATTTATCCTCTATGGTCCAGCAAAAATAAATAACGAAAAATGTGTGTCTCGCAAGTCGCAAGTGCGGCTTTCCCAAGTGGCGGGCTGTCCTTGTAGCCGGCTCGGCTCCCAGCAGCGCTTGCAGCCTCGTCCCGGCGCCCGGCGGTCCCGTGCGCGTGCGCGTACGACTGCAGGGCTGCTGCAGTGCAGTGCCGCGCGCTAGCCTCCTCATAGAGTTGTTATATTAGCAGGTCCTGCTTTGCATCATCCGTGTTACTTCCGGGGTTTGCGCAGCTGCGGTCGGCGGGCAGTGACTGGTGGCGCTCGTACTCGGTGGCCCGGCGGCCGGGCGATTGCTGCCTGAAACTGAAAGCATGGAATAATAACTGGGTTATTGTGGGTTGTGTTCCATCGGTGATGTATCTCCTGTTTCATACAGTAATATGCATGGGTGCTGGTTCTTCAATCCCGTGGCACACGTCTTCTCTTTATTAGGAGAGAGGCTTCTTGCCCTACAACCCACCCGCGTACTTTAATCCATCTTCATTGCTGAGCGCGCTCATCAGTCATCAGGCACGCGGCCGCGGCGCAGGCAGCCATGCCTGCATGCGCATCTCTCACCTCGCCGTCTCCCCGCAGGCGGTTGGCTCGTACTCTCGGTCGGGCCAGCGGCCTCCTTGGCAGCCAGCAGCCAGCTGATTTGCGGCTATCATGCGCGCACCGCACGTATGGCTAGCTGGCTACTAGCTTTCTCTGCACCAGTCGAGGGGTAGATCGGTGGCCGGCCACCTGCTGCCCACCTCGGAAGTATTTACATGGTGCATATATATGCTGCATGAATGGATAGTATAGCGGGATCGGATCTCCGCTCTGAACAGTAGTACGTGATGTGCATGTGCATGTGCATGACTTTCTCGCAGCGCCAGCAATGATCAATCGATCACGATCTCTGCGTCGGCAAGCTGGGGAGAGGGAGACCCCTTGCCTCATACTAGAAAGCACGAGCAACGATCATGGTATATTGTTCTGATGCGCATGTGCATGCTGGTAGCTTTAATTTAAGCAGCCTGACCTGTGTGGGCCAACCGGACGGGATACCAAGCGTTTGGAGCACATCATGAAGAGATATTGTGAAATTCTCCAGCAGATTTTTCTAAAGAAAAATTTACTAGCTAGGTCACCTCAGCTTTTTATCCTTCATTCATGTTGGGACACGGTTACGAGCCACGGAGGCCAAAGTTCACAATAACAATGCGAACTAACGATCAACAAGTTTTATATGAGCAACGTGCAGAAAAATAAGGAGGAACCTTCGCTCGGCTGAGCGCTCTGGGCGAAGGGCAAAGGTGCCTGAGCACGACTGAGGGCAAAAGGCTCCCGAGGAAGACGCCCCAAGCGGAGGTCCAGAAGACCAGAGGAGGACCAGCGTAAGCGGCGGCGCTGGGTAGCGGGCCGCTGATGGGCCCTTGGCGGCGGCCCAACAAACAGAGGCGGTTGAGAAGAAAGATGTCCAGTCTACCCATAGTAGCTTGTACTAGCATGGGAATATTCCGAGGATGTGCTAGGGCTGTCGGAGGGTAAAGTTGTAAAGAATTGCAGTAGCAAACAGTGCCCTATAAAAGGGGTACAAATCCTGTAAAAAGTTTGGTTGGTGAATACTATACATTTATGAAACCCTAATTGAGCCTGAGCCCACCATCCACCTTCCACACCTTCGCCTAGGGCACTTGACTGGGTGAAGGCTTTCCGTGTCCCACCTGCTGGAAACCCGGCTTTCCAACATTGGCGCCCACCACGTGTTGGCCAAGCAAAACCCACAATGGCAAGAAAAAGAGCAGCCTCCGCAAGGCACCTGCGGATCCCGCACCAAGGGGAAGACCCAGGTGTAACGCTCGCATCACCTACGCTACCGCCCCATAAGACCAAGTCACAGAAGAGTCGGCCGTCGAAGACCAGCCTCTGGCACCCGAAGACCAGCAAGCCCCAGACCCCACCCTAGAGCAAGAGCTTCAGCAGCTACAGGCTCAATTGCAGAACATGCAACAAGAAAGGGATAGGGTCGCAGCAGCCTTTGCCGCAAACCAACGAGCAGCCCAAACGTTAGCTCAGGCAGTGGAAATCAGACAGCAGCTAGCCGTCCTACTGGCCTAGATACAAAGTATGCAACCTTCGCAACATCTTTTCAACACATCCAACCGACTAAACTCAGCAAGTCAAAGCCAACCCAACCCCCGTCAGGTACATCAATTCAACCAACTTTCGGCACGCCCTACACCTTGCCACAAATCCATAGAACCATTGATTCCAAATCACCACTATCCGAGGGCATCCAGAACTCACCCTGACCTCCTTCCTACAAATCCATTACCCTACCCAAATTTAACAGAAGATCAGACCCACGCCAATTCATTATGAGTTTTGAGGCAGCAGTGGCCTCCGCCGGTGGAAACGAAGATGTGCTGGCCAAATCTTTCGTTATTGCAGCCGAAGGCGACGCGCTGGCCTGGTATTCAATGTTGAAGCCAAGCTCTGTGTATTCATGGGAATACCTTTGTGAGAAGATCCTAGCAAATTTCAAGGGATTCACCAGTAAATCTTTGACTTCCATGGATTTTTGACTTTCATAGGACCTGAAGGTATTCGGGCTAACCCAGAGAGGACGAAGGCTATAATCTCAATGGTGGAGCTATCAACCAAAAAGAAAGTGCAAAAACTCACTAGAAGAATAGCAGCATTGAATAGATTCATCTCAAAATCAGCAGAGCGTAGCCTCCCATTCTTCAAAGCTCTGAGAGGCGGAGACAAGGTGGAATGGGGACCAGAGCAGTAGGAGGCCTTCCAGCAACTCAAAAACTACATGGCTAGCAAACTCTTGGTAACAGTACCAGATCCTGAGGCCCCACTACTATTATATGTGGCAGCCTCCGACCATGCAGTTAGTGGGGTACTTGTTCAGAAGAAAGAAGAAGGGTTGAAGGTCATTCAACAGCCTGTCTACTACATCTCGGAAGCCTTATCAGGAGCAAAGCTGAACTACATGGAAATCGAAAAAATTGCATACGCTATCCTCATCTCATCAAGAAAGTTGAAGCACTACTTCCAAGCACATGAGATCACAGTGCCTTCTTCGCAACCGCTCGGAGACATTTTCAATAATAAAGAAGCATCAGGAAGAATAGGAAAGTGGGCAACAGAATTATCCCAGTTTGAGCTCAACTATGTGTCAAGAACAGCAGTCAAATCGCAAGCATTAGTAGACTTTATGGCAGACTGGACACCTTAGGCACATCAAATCCGCAACCTCAACCCCAAGTGTGGACACTCTACACAGATGGAGCATGGGGACACTTGGGAGCTGGGGCCTCCACCGTTTTGATAGCACCATCAGACCTTCGCACAAAGTATGCAGCAAGACTAGAATTGTAAGCAACAAATAACATAGTAGAATATGTGTAGGGTCGAGATGGCGGACTAGAGGGAGGGTGAATAGTCCTTTCTAAAATTAATCACGCTGGCTTACTGAAACAAATGCGGAATTAAAACTATCGGTCTAGCCAAGACTACACCCCTCTATCTAAGTTCACAAGCACCTTATAAAGATCCTAATTAGGCAACTGTTAACACTGGATTTTGGTCGACTTCGGAAGATGACAGGTGGACCCGCATACAGGAAGAAGGACATTCGGCAAACAAAACGAGCGGTCGGCTAAATACTTGTGTGGTTGGTTACTTCAGAAGGTGGTGACTCCATTTGGGAAAGCAG